TCGTTGTGGGGGCGTGGGGTTGGTGCAGCTCCGACTCCTCTTCTGCCAGCCACGCCCGCAAACGGCACTGCAGGACGACCAGGTGGTCCATGTGGACCAGCCGCCGTTGACTGTCAGACCAGCGTTGGGGAAATGGAGGGGGTCAGAGAGGGAGGGTGGTGGTAGGGGGGAGGGGGTGAGGATGAAGGGACAGAGCAGCCAGGATTACCCGACATGCGCTGAAGAAGAGGAGAAGTGTGCAGCGCTAGAATAATTGCGACGATTGTTACACTCTTTGGCTCAGCACTGCAAAGTGAACAAATGAAAGAGCAACAACTGAAGGGGGCTGCTTCCTGTGTCCAAGTCGCAATTACAGCCAACTGCAGGAGGAGCCGTGAGTTTAAAAAGTGAGAAAACAAAAAAAAAAAACAAAAAAAAAAAAACAGGAACATGACAGCCTGCCATCATTAGCTCCACTTGGGGAAAAGAGAAGGTGCTGCGTCTGTTACTGTGGGACTCTAACAAATACCAATTACAGAAAAGTTGGTTCACGTCCTCAAATACAACTAAGAGTCAATTCTCTGTGTGGTGACGCACTTCTTGACTGATGAACTCAATCACATGTGAGTATTTGTCTTTCAGCTACATATCATTCACATTTTATCTGTTACTTAGAACAGGAACGTCTTTGATTGGCGTTACTGTGCAGTAAAGTTCAAATATTCACCCAAGTTAAAGTTTTTTAAATCACTACTGGAAACACACTCTTTAAAAGGCTGAGTAACTTACTACGACACTGCAGTTTATGTTGTTGTGAGTTGCACACATTCAGCAGCAGATTCCATCTTTGACCTTTTCACAGAGATTCATCCTCGCCTTAAAAACCTTTAACTTTCCAGGATATTATAAAATGTAACGTTGACTTTACAAATACTTTGCACTGAGAACTACACACAAAAATAACCAAAACAAAGTGATGAGCCGTGACTCGTCTTTAGTTGTTGAAACAGGAGCCCGTGGTTCAAACACATTTGACTCTGTCCAAACATTTTTGAAATATATTTAAGGATCATATTTCTGAATGTGTTTATTGGTTACTAATAGAATTAATAGAAATAGTTTCAAGTCCTCGTTTTCAATAATTTACTTTGTTAGATTCTATTTAATGCGTTGACAGTTTTTATTCATGTTTGCTGCACCGGTCGTTATCGGGACCGATGTAATTAATTTTGTTCTTTTTGCATGAACAGTAAATGCTGATTAAAATGACAATAAAGTCTTTGAATCATGGAAACCTCTGTAAAATACACAAGTCCTGTAATCTGGTGGATTAAAGGACATTTCTATAATATTTTGTTGTGGACCAACCTCTCAGGCCGACTTTAAACGTGAGACGACATTAACTTCAGATCTATATTTCTACCTGGTGACAATGATTGGCTTAAGGCTCTGAACTTAAAACAACATATACAGTAGTTTATATATTATTGATTACAATCAGGCGATTGATCAGTTAATCAAATTACACTGATCTGCAGCTCCTGCATGAACGACACCGTTGACGGTGAGAATCCTCATTTATTGACGCGGACGCCGCCGCCGTCGTCCCCCGTCTGTACATACCCCTTTCCTAATTTCCCTCTAACTCTCTCCTGTGCTTGTCGTGGCTGAGTCATTTCCTTGCCCTCTCTGTAAGATTGATTGCCCACCGCGGCGAGGTAAATTACCGGAGAGCTCGGCCCCTGATTACCTCTTAGCACGGAGTGCAGTCTCACCAGCCAGGCCTTGTTAAAATGCACCGCTGGCCCCCTGTTGAACCCCCTTTGAAAAGTGGTGATTACAAGTCATTTTTTTAATTTATTTTTTTGCAAACGTTATACTCTTTTATGAGTTAGCAGCCTTTGATAATGCTTCAATATAGCTGCCTAGCATATAGCATGATAGGAAGACTGCATGATAGGGAGATAGGAAGAGGCTAACCACAATTTGTGCTCTTTTATTTTCTATTCCTAACCTCTTTGCTGGAGTGTTAAACATTTAAAAACATACAAATAAAATATCTGAAATATCTAGACTTTTTTTTAAATTGACAAAATAAAAAGATATGTCACACCAACGTGTTAACCTGTAATAATTTAACCGCCTCTTTGAGGAACTTTCTAGGTGTTTATGTGTCTCACAGTCGTTCATTTCCAAACAAAATAGTTTGTTACATAAAGTCGATTCAGTAATTTCTGCGTCAGCGTGCTCCACCGACGGTCGACTGCTGTTCTAACTTCACAGCACATCGTAACATCATCTTTTGGCAGCCTCAGTGGAAGCCGACCAGGTGTCAAACTCGGAGCCAGATTCCTCACGTTCACGGAGCTGATTTCATGTTGCGTTTGATTTACATCTCCCGTTTGGACGCAGCTTTGAACCGCAGCGGGCTGCAAGGTGTGCAGTACTCGTACACACCAGCAGCACCGGTGCAGGCGGCACGTGCTCCGATAGAAAATACGCTTTCTCAGCATATTTTAATAAAGGTCAGTCTGCATATCAAGCCCAGCCATTATTTACAGTTTGCTGTTGAATCTTTTTTTTTCTTTCTTCTCACTGGATTCACTACAGAGGAGGAGGAAGACGGCAGCTCCGGGATCAGACGCAGCCGGCGTTGACAGAATGACTGCCAGTAACATTTAAGTTGTTCTAATTAATGTGTTTGTGCTTGCTCGTCTTTATGTTCTCATTTATGATGTAATTCTTGGCTTCAACGCAGAAAAACGGATTTGCAAGCTGTCGCCATTTGTTTTTTTTTGCTACGTATGCTATTATCCATGCTGTAGTTATTATTGTTTTTGTTGTTGATGTTGTTTACACGAAGTACCTGATTTCAATTAAATTTATTTTCAATTTGATACGATTTAGTTTGATATTTTTAGTTCAGTTCAGTTCAACAGCAAGATGATGTTTGAGCAGCTCAGATTTAGCGTTAGCTGTACTGTACTGTAAGTGATTCCAGCTCCATGAAGTAAAATAAACTAAAGTAAAGTCTAGGAAACGCAGGACTACGTGAAGTGGAGCTGTGTGGCAGGTAAAGCTGTTTATTTCTGCAGACTGCAGGTCTGTGTGTTGTTGTTCCAAGCTTTGACTCCAAACTTCTCATTAGTCCCTGCGTTCACAGCACAGACCGTCTGCAGGCAGAGGCGTTCACTTACCATAGACCAGGACCGTTGCGGAGCTGCTCTTGCGACGAGCCACTATGTTCTTGGCCACACACGTGTAGTTGCCCGTGTCTGCCAGACGGGCCTTTCTGATGACAAGATTGTGGTCGGCTGTGATGAAAAAATTGGGGTCGCTGGTCGGGTTGATCACGTCCTCATTTCTCTGCCACTCCACCTGAAAACATGTTTGAGTGGTCAGAAAATTCACTTCATATTCACAGAAACACAGAAACACAGAAACACAGAGACCAGAGGACGCTCCTGTGGTCAAAGAAGAAACTACAGACAATTATTTATGTTTAAAAGAGAATAAATAAAGGAAAAATAATGGAAAAACTCACTGCTACATACCTACATTTAATTTATTAAATATTATTAAATATGTATGTATATATATATATATATATATACATACTGTATATTTAACTAAGGAGTAAAATATTTATTTTTGATTTTGTATTGAATGCAAATAAAAAGGTACGTTCATACATAGCCTAAAGCTGTGTATCCTGTATATTTCATGCAATACATATAGTATGTTGTTCCAGCGCCGTGTTGGTTTCAAGGTTCTTGGCCTGGAAAATGTTTTTTCGTTCCTAATCTTGTTGTTAAGGCGAACTTAAGAAACCTCTGAGGATGTTGTTTTGTGCTACGTTGCTACTGTGTCACCATTTCTGGCGGCCGGGGTGGAGGGGGGGGGGGGGGTTTACAGGGGGGTTACAGGCATCCATTTCTGAACGTGGAGATGTTTCGAAAAACAAATTCAGTCTGTATTTAATCAAGAATATTTCTTCATGCTGCTCGCCTTTCACCTTGACCACCACGCTGCAGACTTTGTTTTTTAGGAACTCTACCAACTTTTACGATTGGCTGTGTGTACACTGTATACCCAGTGCACTGATTTGACTATTAAAACTTTTGCTGTTCAGAGTAGTTGGTTGTTGGCGGTGGTCCGTAGGCTAAACCAATCAGGTTTTGCGTAGCTTCCGTGACCTTTTGCAGGAGCCAAAACTCCTTTTTCGGCGCACACTCAGATTGTCTTTGTTTTCTTGCTCTCACTTGACCCCGTGCCCTCTGAGAGGGGCTGCAGTACAGCAGGATTGTTGTTGGTTTTACTGCCAGTTGCAAGGCTGCATATAATTGGGCTGTTCTTCCCCTCGCTCTTTTCTCTTGTGGTGACTTTTGCCCCGTTGTTTTTTTTTGTTTTGTTTTTTTTTTTCTGCTGAACTACGGATGGCACTTTCCTGTCCGTTTTCTCCCTGCTCTGTTCCCTGCTCTGTACAGCTGTGATTGGCTAGTCTGCTGATTGTGCTCCCTGGGCTAACCTGACCTCATCATGTGTTGTTATTAGAGTAGTTAGTGTGTATCTGGGAGCAGAGGATACAGCAGACAAGGAGAAACAGCTGGGCCCCGTCTGGTCTTATATTTACAGACACACATGAGACGCGAAGACGAAGACAAAGACCTGGGCAGGACATGAGAACCGGAGAGCTATGGCACACGGACCGATGACACGGAGATAGAAAATATGATGGAGAGACTGAGACAAATAGAGGCATCAATTATGGATCAGCCTTTATAGATGTCAATGGAGAGTGAAGCCTCCAAGCCTGTCGTGAGTAATGATGACGAGATGATGTGATATACAGCTCCTCACAGATGTAAGAGCGATAATAAATCAATAATGGAGAATAATTAGATGTGTAATTTATCCAAACAGGGTCGGCAGACAGAGACGCCGGGGAGATGAACCTGAGACACTTTGTCCTCCCGGTGAAGAAAGGGTAAAAGGAAGCTGGATGTGGGCCTAAAAATAACTTCTCTATCTGCGTCTCACCTCAGCTTGTGGCACTCCCTCTGGGGGATGGCATCGCAGTAACACCTCCTGGTCCAGTGCCACCTCTTTCCCCTGCGGCTCCTCCTCAAAATTCTTTCTCAGGTCTGGTGGAAGAAAACAACCAATTAGGACATTTTTGCTAAAGCTTGAGAATCTCATACCAGATAATGTCGTCCACAAACTTCAGCCCCTTGATTTTTTTTCTTTTTTTTTTCTAAATTTGTTCCGCTCTTGAAATGTCCACCGTTTGCTTCGCCGAACATGTCGCACTTCACTTGGCCCATAAGCCACACTGGGATGGGTGTCACCAGGCATGTTGCTTATTATGGGCTGCCTGGTTGCTTCAGAGATCCTTGTCTGCTGCCAGAGGGGCTCGGCGTCAAGAGAAAGCAATTGCATTAGCCCTCATTCTGCCCGGTCCCCTCCATTCGCTGCTCCCCAGCTTTCGACAGCCTCCAGCTTCCATCTGTGTGAGGGCTTGGAGCAGTCACATGAAAACAAAGCCTTGAGGCACATGGACGAGAGCTCCAGAAAACCCAGCAGACTGCATGGGGCTCCAACATTAAGTCTCATGGAACAGCCTGACTGCTTCACCAGACAATGAGGCGTATTTAGCTGTTAGCACAGAGCTAGCTGTGATTTATACACAGATGCAATTGGCAACGCTTTGCTAGCACCAATCTCAGCTATCTGGTGGGCAGTTCGCCAATTCATCGCGGCCACATTATTATCATAAAAAATATTATTATCTTCAAATAAAGAATAGTAATATTATATGCATTATTATGAATAAATTATTGTTAGAAATATAACAATACTACTGTAATAACAATAATAATAAAATATACATCATATGCATTGTATTCACCAAACTCATCAATTAATTATTTATACGTGGTAATTGATATGTTGCTGGTCCACGGACTGAACCAGTCAGTCCGTCCTGACAGGTTCAAACTGACTGGTGGCTGCGTACCAGCGTTATCCTCATTTTACATCAACATG